TGTATACAAATAAATTATATCTATTATACTAAATATATCAACAATGTCGATAATGTCATTAATGTCAAGAATGTCATTAATGTCAATTATGTTAACAATGTCAAGAATGTCACGCAATACATGTAGATCAATTTGTAGATCACTTCTGCTAATCATTTGGTTGATCCATTCTGCAAATCCTTTTGTAAATCAGTTTTGCAGATCTCTTTGTAGATCCGTTTACAATACTTTTTATTATAAAAATAATGATTAAAGAAAAAGCATTTTATTTTGTATAGGAATTTAATATTCTATATTCTTTTCAAATAGATAGATAAAAAAATTTAAGAAATATAATAATCTTTATTATTATTGCTTATATAGTAAAGCAAATAATATATTATTAAAAATTTTTTTGAAGGAAAAAAGAAAATGACAAACAATTTTACAAGATTATATATACTTGATAATATATTTAATGCAGTTAAAACTAGTCTCTTTTTTTTAATGACACCTAATCAAATACTTTTTAAAATCTTTTTATATAGAAATAAAATTAATGTTAAAGAAGCTATAAAATATATTACTCAAGCTTGAGATTCAGTAAAAGAAGAAACAATTGTTAATTATTGGTAAAAAATTGGAATTTTATCAACTAATGATAATAATGATAGTATCTAACAAACTTTAATAGCATAGAAAATAGCAAGTTAAGAAGATTAAAAGAATATTAAACTCCTTTTCAATAGTTTTTATTTTTTAAAATCATTTTAAATAAGTTCTTAGAAGAAGTAAATCAGTATTTAGAAATAATTGATTTGATAATTCTAATAAAATAATCATTAACTGATGCTAAAATTATTCAATTAATTTTGGAAGAAAAAAATGAAAAAACTGAATTAAATGATAATAATAAAGAAGAACATTTAATATTATTAATACAAGTCTTGTTTTGCCCTATATATACAGTATTATTTTAACTATTGGTTAATTCAAGATTCTAAGCATTTTGATATTATTTTTGTCACATCTACACATTATATTTATATAATTACAGCATTCTGAAAATCATTGCGTTTGGTTCTATAAAAAGGTTTTAATAGTCTTAAATTATAGGTACAATATTTTGAAGTAAAGAGTTTAATATGAAAGAGATAAGAATTTTTAGAAATATACAACAAAAACTTTTTGAAAGTAAAATACAAAAAAAAATATTACAACTTTTTTTATGCAAGTTAATATATAAATATAGAAATTTTTGTCTTTTATAAATAATAAATTCACTATGTTTTTAAATTTTTTATGATAATAGAAATTTATGAACCTCTATATAGTCACAATCCATATGATTTCTATATAGGTTGACTATATAGAGGGATTTCTATATAGTCACATCTAAATATAAGCATACCAAAAGCGTGTGCCTAACTGCGTGACTATATAGAGGTACACTCTTATGAAAAAAATGATTGGAAACTCAAAAATCAAAATAATAATTGAAATAATCAACTAATAAGAAAAAAATTTTTTTTATTAATAAAATCGACTTTAATGCTCTATATAAACTTATGCATTATAATAAATAGTATATATCTTGAAATTTTTCGTGACAATTGGACTTTTATTAATTTTTAATTCTAAAATTTAATTAAAAAATTGCATAATTTATAAAATTTTGGCTGCAAATTTTTTGACTAAAGGTTATTTTTAGCAATTAAGTAAATGTATTCAATATAATAAAAGAAATACTATATTTATTACTGCGGTTGTTGCGATTAAAGATTTTGACATTTTATTTATTTAATTGGCTAATTGGTTTAGGTTGCATTATGACGATCTAGAATAAGTGTTAAAATTTGATTTTGAGTTAGAGTTAGATTTATGTTAGGTTTTTATAAAAACATGAATAACGAGTTAGCTTTAGGGCTAGGATTAAGGTTAGGATTAGAGTTAGGGTTAAGTGATTTATTAAAAAAAAATAATCACGTTAGCGATAGAATTAGGTTAAGGCTATCGTTATAATTAGTTATTTATAAAATATTATTACTTACTTTGCATCGCTTTGCTATTATATATATATTTTTAAATTTTTTTTAAAAAAATAATTTTTAATTATAATAAGTAAAATATGTTTATAAGAATTTTATTAAACTTTTAGTAAATGAATTTAACGATTCCTTTATTGAACTCAAGTTAAGGTTTTAGGATAAACCAAGAGTTCAATAAAGGAATCGTTAAATTCATTTACTATTGCCTTTTGTCGTGTCTTCATATAGGCGTGATTGTGATATTGTCTTGTATTTAATTCGACGGATTGAATTAAAAGTTTATCGTTTAAGTTTACAGATACCAAGCCAACATCATACAAATTCGAAAATGAAAATATAAAAAAATTCTAAATGATGGTAATTATAGAAAGTTAGTGGAGTTTTTAAGAAATGCGATCGCTCAAATATTGGACAGGTATTATTTAGATAGCTTTATTTCTATTAATATTACCAATAAGTACATTATCAATAAAAAAGTGTAAATTAAAAATCTAATAGATGAAAGTAAATACATGTAAGAATATGAATACAAATCATTATTTTTTTTAGACTATGAAAAGGTGCTTAAAATTGTAAGAGACCTCCAAAAATGGTTCAGAGATATCAATCCATTAAACTAGAAACATTTCCACCATTCTGATTTTACGAAACAGAATGTGCACGAAATTCTTTATAGTATTTGGAATTTCTTTAACATTGAATGGCATCACAATCATCTTCACCAAATTCGAAAGCCACCTTTTTTTGATGGGGTCTCCATATGAATGAGTGCGTACCACCACGAGCAAAAAGATATTGCTCAAAGAAATTATGAATCGTCTTTCCTCTTGTGACGACTCCCAAATTTAGACAAATCCGTCATCATATAGGTCGTTCTTGTCCTTTAATGCAATGCAATGATACCAAATACATTGGAACGAACCAATTTCTCTTGTTGCAAAGATTTGGTATTTGCATTTCAATAATAATTAGTTTTGGTGTATGGCATATAGCAAGCAGTGTTGTAAAGGACATAGTGTGGACATAATGTTGAACACGTAAAATACTTTGGGTATATATTTTTTTTTTCTGTGCGGTAGCTTTATATGGTTAAATATAGTATGAAAAAATATGTGAAATTTTGATTGACCAGATAATTTAAAAAAAAAAAGATTTTCAGTTTGATCCGATAAAAATTATGAACCCTCAAAAACGAAGGTATAAAAAAAACAGGGTGCATATATAATTCGGTATTTGGTAACATAAATAAATCAATGAAGTTGATGGGTTGACCGTCTTTTTCTGTTGAAAGTAGATGTTGTAGAACAATAATAAATCAGTCATACCTTTTAATTCACGGGAAAAAACATTTTTATTCATATGTTATGGCATGGGAAAAAAACAAATAAACATAAAGCATAAAGCATAAGATAATAAACTTTTCTATATTAAAATAATTTTATGTAATGATTTCTATTTATGTAGACCGTCAAAGCATGAAGTATAAACGTCATCAGGTTTAGCTTTAAGTTTGACCCGCATTTTTACCAACTTCTGAGGAATGATCAACGAAGTGTAAAAGTGATCGAAGTATAGAATCATCATGGACATTCAAAGCGCTAACGCTAAAAAGAAAGTGATTAATGCTTTATAGGAGGAAAATGATTTTTAATGGAAAAGAAAAAACAACAATTTTTTTCGCTTGGTAACGTAACACCAAATTAACCAAATTTTCTTATTTTTAGTTTATTATATAAATTGTACATGATAACAAAGAATAAAATATGTAGATGTATATTTTTTCAATAACGTTTAAAGAATTTTATTCTTTGTACCGAACCGCCACAAAAAAAAAAAAAAAAAAAAAAACTTGAAACAAACAAGATTTTTCAAGTACAAACTTTATTAAATAATAAGAATATGCAACAAGATAAGGATCATTAAAAAGGAGTGAGAACGAAAAAGAAATTTTAATCTGAAAAAGGAACAACTATTAGTAATTGACATACTCAACGTACGCCTTACACGAATTGTATTCTTGTTCTTAAAAAAGGGATAACGAACGGATATTACAATTATGTTATTTACAATTTTTTAAAGACCAGACAAACTTAAATTTCGTAAGTAAAATTACAAAGTTAAAAATGAAGTAGCCTGGTGAAGCAAAAAGCCTAATTGCAATTGATTCCCAAAAAGTAAACTATTATCTCGAAATAATAATGGTCCTTTTTGTAACATTTTTTTTACCCCGTTTCTATTATCTTCTAAAAACGGGAAGTCGCAAAGATTATGATTCCTTATAAAAGAGTTGAAAAATGTGGTCTCTATGTAAGAAAAAATTTTCCTTTTTATCGTTTATTTATCCCTTCGTCTGTAACGCAGGCAAATAAACATAGTAGTCTACAGACGAAGGGATAAGTTGAATTTTTTCATTTTATTTTTATTTTTTTCCTTCAATAATGTCGCAAATTCCATTAAATGAAAATTTACCAAAAATGTATATACATTCCAAGAGGAAATCAGGATACGTTATGGGTCCAAAAATTTACACATTTGAATCAAATGAAGTATGTAATTTAACAACTTTTCAAAAAAAAAAAAAAAAAATGGAAAAGTTATCGTTTATTATGCTAACGAATTTTTTTATTTTGTTTTTCTTAAGAGAGTTCAGGTGCAGATATACAAATCATCGGAAGAAGAAATAAACAGTGTCAAGCGAAAATTATGGGTACTGCGGAACAAATTAAAATGGTCGTTAAATTATTACAAGACACCTTGGGTCGCACCAATTATTTTTCACCCTCCATCGGATTCACTTTATTGGACGTCTCGGATGAGTACGAGTCGCGTTACATTGGTAGTGATATTAAAATCATCTCGTTTTATAAGGCTTCCAATGATAATCACGAAACCAGCCCCTTTTATAAATATATTTTTGCGATTAACGCTTTACCAACTTGTCCTTACATTTCCTTACCCCTCTACTTCAATTACTCCTAAATTTCTATCTCACTTGTAAGAATTGTAATCCATTGGATTTTTCAATCAATAGTTTATCAGGGATTCAAATGTTGAAACCTTGTTTAAAACAAATTTCAAATTTTTGTGAAACTCTTATTTATGAAAAAAAAATTTCGACGGATGAGGAATTTTGATTAAAAGTTTGCTTTGGTAAAGTAATATTTACTAAACTCCAACAAACTTCTCTTACTTTATGTGAGTGGAATGGATTAAGGAGAGGTCATAAGGAGTCACTACGTCATTCAGTCATGATGTTGGATCTCCTGAGAGAGATTATATAATTAGAAGGTTAATTCAAGATTTTGGATTTCGTCAAGTCAATCTTGTTGAGGAAACTGTTATTACAATTATATTTACCGAGAATGATAAAAAAAAAAAATAGAATGAAATTATATTTTGACCCAATGTTTGTAAGTGAAAAGTTGAGAATTTTAGCATATTTTCCCATTAAAAATGAATCTTTCTAAACGGAATTTATTTTATTTACAGCTACTTGGAAGATAAAAAGGCTGACGAAAAATATTTGTCGACATGCAATAATCGACATCGTTTCGGGAAAGGATCCCCCAATTTACGCTTATTGATAAAGTCTTAAAAACCATCAAGATTTCCCATTAGCAAGAAGTATCATAGAATAATCGATAACATTCAAAGATCCAACAGATTCCTCGGTAGAATGAATTTAATCAACGGACCAATGCCATTACAGGAGGATTGTAATAAAATGTATTTTTAGGCAAAGTGATTTTGCCTCAAATGGAAAGTTCAAATGTACGAGTGTTAGACAATCAATCATCAAAATCAATTTATGTAAGTGATTTATAAAAATCTCGTTTATGTTTATTTGGAATTAAATTTTCTGTCTTATATCTCATCAATTCTCAATAATTAATTTAGAAGTGGAAGCTATACGCCTTAATTTCATGTCTACTTTACAAGATGAAGGAGATAGAGTCACTTCGGAAGATACAGTCAATTTGATCCATCATTATCGGAACGTGCGCCAATAAATCCTGAAGATCCAGAATTTAGAAATATTTTATAAATATTATTTAATACCGCTTTTTCATTAGAGATAAGGTTTCAATTCTTAGAAATAGTTTAATGGTTAAAAAAAAAAAAAAAAAAAAAAATATTTTAAAGTCACACTTTTTGCTAAAGTAAATATTATGAATTAGCCTTTCTTTGAACGTGATAAGCAAAGCGTCAATGCAGTCAAATCAATAAAATTATATTTTTTGAAAAAAAAGGGAATTCTAGAATTGGAAAAGATTTTTTTTTTGTTGTTTGTGTTTCACCACATTTAGGATATGTTATTCTTAATAAAAACCTTTTGTGTGATTCGGGTCTATCCGCTAAAGGATTGACCATTTTTTATCATAATTGTTCGTAAATAGTTAAAATCTACATAAAAAAAAAAAAAAAAAAAACTATAAAATGTGTCGGAACTGAAAAGAAAGTTTTTCGAGTTGCTTCTTTACTGAATGTTGCAAATTTCCATTAAGAAATTTCTTTTAAAGTAATCATCCTGTAAATGACAGTAATGAATGGCTCACGTGGAATTTCTTTCATAGGGAGTGTTGCGCTTTTGGTTTCGTCCATGACTGGACCGGGACTTGTGACAAGTATTTATAAGAGGAAATAGAAGAATTTTATTTTTGTAAAATTTAATATTAATACTTTGCCTACTTTCCCGATATATAAATAGTTCCTTTACTCTTTCAAACTTCAGGATGGTTATTACCTACGATTATGTTTGCTATCGCCATGTCACTTGGTGCTTCTGCTTCTTTACTTTTATGTGAAGCATTAACGTCAATTCATGGAAATGAAAGATTTCAAGTAAGCGTTTATAGCTAGCTCCTTATACTCTATATTGATATCCTTCATCGCGAAATTAATTATCTCTCCCCCCCCCCCCCATTTTAGCGTAAAATCGAATTTACTCATTTATCAAATCTTTTAATCCACAATCGCAAAGTGCGAATAATTGTGCAAATTATTTTGTATTTGGCTATTGAGTCGATTATTATCGCTTCAATTATATTGTCAGCTCAAGCTATGGATTGGATGTTATTGAAGCTAACCGGTAGAACTTGTGGATTTAGTCTTCATCCAGATTTAGGATTCATATGTGTAGACGAAGAGACCAATGAGAATAGTCCTTTCGGTTCGAATTATATGCTAGCCACTTCTGGATTTATGGTGATTAATTTTGGAGAGAGTAAAAATTTACTGCTCCACACTTACGCTACTCATATTTATAGATTACGTTGGCATTTTGTGTTCCTTTGGCATTTTTGGATTTGGTTGATAATATCATTGTGCAAATAGGTAAATTCTTTAGCGAATTATTGTATCAATTTCTCAAATATTATGCTTATTTTCTGCGTCTCACGTGTAATTTCTAGCTTCTTTCGGGGCTCTCGTTTTTATTATAATCACGTGGATCGTTACATTCATTCTTACCGGATTGACTAAAGATTATATTCCATTGGTCAGCAATGATCAGAGTCAGGTTGTTGGAACAGTATTATTTAACTATGCGTTTATCACCACCATTCCAAGCTGGGTTAACGATCTAGTACATATCAATATTGATTTAGTATTATTATTATTATTATTTTCCCTTTGAGAAGCAAGCATCTGACATTTTTTTTATATTTTAGCGACCTGACGTTTGTATCAGAAAATCTATATGGTATTCTGTGATAATAAGCACAACATCATACATTGCATTAGGAATATTAGGAGGAATGGCATATCAAATGGGTTTAGCTTCAAATATTATAGCAGAAATTAATGCATCGTCACATCGAAATTTCGTGACGGATATCGCAACTTTTGTATTCCCGGTTGCGGTTTTATTAACGAGTATTCCAGTAGAATTTATTGTCGTTCGTTATAATTTGGTTAGATCCGGTTTTTGTGAAAAAGGTATTTTTTTTTTTTAAAAGAAATTATTATTATTATATTTATTTTAATTATCTTTTTTTTCTAAAAAATTTTGTTGTAGGAATGGCAAACGTATTGTCGATATTACTACCTTGGCTGATTGTTATACCATTTCAAACAGGATATTGGTTAAATATATTTACAAATTGGGCCAGTTTATTATTTACTAGCACGAGTAATTTTATTATACCATTTTATTTATATTATTTAAGTCAAAAGCAAAAGGGGCAACATTATCCCGTAGAAATTGATCATCGGGAAAAAGATTTAGAATCAACTCCGGAAAAGGAAAATAAAACAAAACAATCAAATGAATCTCTTGTTACTGCAGAAATTGTAAATCCTTCTTCTCCGAAACTCAATGTTTCTGGTACTATTGATACTATAAATGAAAAGATCAATGATAATGTTTCAAAAATATTATCTAGAAAAAGCTCATCAAATTCTGGATATGCATTTACTCTTATCAATGATATTGATGAAACCTATTCGAACCAACCTTCAAAAAATTCTTTTGTCGCTTTCCCTATTCAAAGGAAAAAGAGAATAATTATTTCTGTGGTTGCGGGAATTACTTCTATTATTTTGGTTGGTGCAATTATTACTTATGATCTTGTTGAATTATCGCTTGGTCATAACGTATTTGATTTAAATGAAGATAATTAAAATTATACGTAGATTTAATAATTTTTGTAAAAAAAAAAAAAAAAAAATAGATGTAAAAGTAGAAAGTAATATTTTTTCTTAATATTTTTTTTTTTTTTTGATTATTTAATTTTTAATTTTGGTTAAGTAATTTTTTAATTGATTCAAAAAAAAAAAAATTGTACCTTTTAATTTTGAGCCAATACCCTGTCCCGTGACTAACAAGGTTGTGATGAACAGGAAAATCTCTGAAATCAGAAATAAAATAAGCTGTTCTATAAGATCCATCACTTGCATCACTTGGTAATGTTAATTATAATTTGATCTTTTTATTTTAGATCGATGGATCTATTGTTGGTTGAATCGGAACATCATTGTGAAGTTTTAGATCATTGTCTTGAAAGTATTTATATACAGTTAAAATCTTAAAGTTTGAATATTAAATATTCCATCGTTCGAGTCATTATTAAAATTAGTAATAAAGAATATAATTTAATTTTGCTTTTAATTTATTTAATTATGCCTATTTATATATATTTGTTACCCATATTATTTATATAGGTATGAAACAAACAATATTATCACAATTAAATGATCAGAATTTAATTATATTTAACTCATTGTGGGATAATTCAAATAAATATTATTTTATTTTTATAAGTGGGATATTGATCAAGAAATACATATAAATTAAATAGGATTTGGGATTTGGATTGAAATTTAAATCTAGTATAAGGTATAGCAACTATATTCCTATCTATTCTTTATTATTTAAAAAATAAGCTCCTTTTGAAGGAGAAAATATGATAAATATTATCACATGTTTTGACATATTCTTTAATATCTTCGTACATTTGTGGCCAGTAATATCGTGTCCTAATTTTGTTAAACATAATTTCTCGTCCAAAATGTCCAGATGTTGGGTCATTATGCATCATATAAAGAACAGGTTCCAATTCGTGTCATTTGAGTTAACTCTTAAACCAAATTTATGATTAAGAGGTTTGCTGTTTAGATCATACGATTTATTATGTCATAACAAATCGTCCATTTTTAACAAGGACCAGACAGCTAACTTCTTCTTTGAAATCCTTGAAATCTTAAAAAAAAAAAAAATTTAACAAAATTCAATTCCATAAAATGTACATTACTGACGTTACTAAAAAAAATGTATAAAATATTTACCTGTCCTCTACTGACAACACTAAAGTATACAAAATATATGTGAGTATATTTTGTTCGTTTTTTTTTTTTGATCGTTCGCTTGGAAAAAGGCAACCTTTACAGTACCAAGCTTTTTTGATTCGAGTTGCCTTTATTTTGTGGTCCTCTCCACGCTTAGGAAGGTAGGAAACCAGTTTTTGTAGTAGTAAACGGTATAGTCGATTATTTATTTAGTTAACCAAGGATTTTTTTTGGTAGAATAATATTTAGTTAAGGTTTATTTACATTTTGGTTTAGAATTTATTTTGGAAGTACTGTACTTTGGTTACATTTTAAGGCAATTTCGATTCGTAAATGATGGATGGTGATTGGTGGTAACGCAATTTTATTAAAAACGCTAATATTTTATAAAACATGAAATTTAATAGTAAAAATAAAAAGGAAACCACGTTAAAAACTCTTATAAAGTCACGCATAATTTATTCCCTTCCTTATATTTACAGTGGTAACATCTTGTGGTAAACGCGGTTGCAGTTAGGTTGCAGTTACATTTTGTGGTTGCGCAGTGATGAAAAAATTTATTTTGGTCATTTGAGATGCTTTTCTTTTGACCGTTATTTTATTAAATTTTTTTTTATGTAAATAACAAATTAAATTAAAATTTTGGTATATTGTTATTTACCATTTCGTATAGCTTCTAATTTCATCATTTCTATCTAAAATGTGTCAACATCATCTCACGTAGCACGAGGATATCTTTTAACCATCGGATTTTGTTCATTTCATTTTCATCCGACTTTATATAACTTTTTCCTTAGCATCCCCTCAAATAAAACTACTTAACATGAGATACTACAAACAAATTTTCAGGACGACGAGTATTTTTTTTTAAGGATGTATCAAATAACCTCAAAATACTTATGAAATAAAATTTATATGAACAAAAGTAGGGAATAGATCTTCAGGACAAAGCATTGACACGTTATTTTGATATTTTCCAAAAAAAAAAAAAAGATCTTTTCCTTCATCTAAGTATTGAGTAACAATTTCTTCAAGAGGAGAGTATCTGCATTTAATTTATCTCCTTGAAATCCAAAGATTCTAATTATTTTATTTTCAAAAGTTCAATAATATGTTTTTGACTTGTAATAGTTGGACGTTAGGTATCTCGGCATATTCTACATTATTAATAATTCTGGCTTGACTACCGCCTTGGACCCACAAGGATAATTCTTCAAACCTCTGGTCTCAGAGGATGACCCTTACTCTCTCTAACAGATAAATAACTATCGAATCAAGCTAGAATGCCAACCCCCAAGAGTTATAATTTAATAGAGCTTGAACTTTCAAAGTAAGAAATCGTGGCTTCATTAGTACTAATTCAGGAACGATCTCAATGCCCTCTCGACAGTTTGGAAGTACTCTAATAAAGAACAGCATGTTGACGTGTTTAATCGCCCTCTCTCTAATCCTGTTTTTCTATGAAAAGTTTAAAGACAATTTCAATAAATTGGTGTATTTTGTGTACGAACTTTTCCAATCAGTTACACTAAATATAAAAACAAATATCGTACCAATATTCCATCATCTGCTTAAGAGTTACACCAATCATACTAGGTACATAATTTTTATGACCTGATGCATCTATCAACGCTTATCTGTTTCAAAAAGCACGTCCACTTTCTACTGATTTCCCTGTAAAAAATAAATAAAATAATACGATAAATATATTAAATACAAGTAAAATACCTTTGCACGTTCTAACTTATTTGTATCATGTGCCCATTATAAATACCATGTCTCCAATCTTTTGTTCTTTAGCTTCCTTTTCGTTATCCATTTTCCGATCAACTATTCTTGCCAAGAACCTTTTTCAAATACAATATAAATTAGTATTTACAGAAGTAAATTACTCTGAATGATACAAGATATTACTGCCCACAGCGCATCTAATTGCAAATTGAAATAACATCAAAAATTCACTATCATTTTATATTGTTTTGGAGCTATATGTCAATTGTTGTTCCTTCGGATATAACTATCAAAGAGCATCAAATGGAATTAAATTATAATACTAAGCTACAACTCCTATAAACACACTCTTTACCATATAATCCTCAATAACTTAATCATTCACAGGCTTTACCTCTTCCGAATTCTCTTCTCCAGGCTTCGAAATGCCAAAATTACGCGTTTATACTTCTCTCTCAAACGTGTCAATTTTTTTGAAGAATTCGCATAAAGTTAGATCTTTTGATGTCACTAACAACGTTGGTCGCATTCTAAACTAAATTGGACTCCTCAGCGACAAGTTCATTTAGTAGAGAAGCAATTGAATTCCAGCTGGAAAGTGCGTAAAACATTAGCTGATAAAGTTTCACAAGGGTAGTTTGGAGGACTGAATGCTGCGAGTTGAACATGTGTCGTGGCGTCACTTGCGATCACTTCTGAATTTATAAAATTTTAATAACACGACGATTTCCTAATATATTAGGGCATAAAATACCCGCCTTTTTCTATTTATAGTCAAAAATTTTTTTGATAATCATGCCCGATAAAGGTTTTGTGTCTCCGTATTTGACAGAAACAATTTTTGCTGGAAAATATTTCACAAAAGTAAATTAAATTAGTGTAATTTAAGCAATTTTGTCTATGCGTTAAATCAACACGAGATGGGTAAAAAGGTAATTACGTTTTATTTTAATAAAAATTGTGTTCATACAAGTTCACTGAATAAAAACCATTTATAATTTAGAAAGACAGTTTAAATGAAACTGGCGCGAATAATCTTCACGGTGAAACTGCTATATGATAACAACCGAGAGTTTTATCATTAATACACCGACTTCGTTAGTAAAATATTGAATCACGAAATGTAGCTTTTCTAAAATTATTCTGAAAATTATAAATAAATGTTTATTTATTTATTTTTTCTAAAAAAAAAAGTTATTTTTATATTTAATTTTAAATAATTCTTGATATTCATGCGTGAATGTTTAACAAAGTTTCTATAATACCGATTGATCTTATTATTTATATCATTCAGAATGTGTCATAATTGAATATATGGGAGTAGATAATGGTATTTCATGTGAATTTTTTTTTTTTTTTTTTTAATAATCAATCATTACTAAATTTATTTCTATCATGCGACGTTAGATAAAATGTGGTTCAAAAATGCAAGTTGTCTTATGTCGCATTATAACTTACAGCATTTCTTCAGCTAAAGCATCAAAATCCTCGTAGGTACGTAATATGATTATTATAATCATAGATATATATATTATTCGAAATTAATTAATTTGCTATTATTTTAATCGATTTTTCAAAGCTGCAGATCAACTTTTTTCCGGTAGCGTTGTTGAATTTGGGAGGAACTAAAAGATTGTAGACTTTTTGTTATTATTATATTGAAAATCTTTTCATTATTTATGCATCTTGTCTATCAACTTTAACAACTATCGCATTAAAATATTGGTATGAATTAAAGTTAGGTGGACAGAACATGTACTTATGATATCAAAGAATTCATATAACCAATAAACTAATTTCAATACGACTGCTGTGACTGTATTAATTCGAGAGATCGCTAAAGAAGTCGCATGCAACTTGTTGATGCTTTAGGAGTTGATCCTCGCATACTTTATGCGCCAATAATCAAGGTTACGTTTAATATTGATATTTTCATATGGATTTCTTCAAGGTATTAATTTTCTTTTTAATTACTTTAGTTGAATTAGTAAAAAACGAGGCCAATTATGAGCATACAAGGATTATAGATTATTATTTATTCCATAAGTTGATATTGAATTCATAAGGTTTTGGTTTTGTTATATAATGATTTATTAATAAATTGATCTTTAATTTAAATATATTTCTTATATTCTTTTGAATGATCGTATCTATTATATGTGGTTATATGATAAAATTTTTATTTTTAAATAAAACTATTACAACTCGTAAATAATAGCTGTCACATAAATTTGTGATTCTCCTCATTTTCTCACTGTACAAACATCGTCTCGAAATACTTTATGTCTTTTGGCATTTCAGACTCGCTGTCATAAATATCCTATCGTTCAACAAAACGTATGATTAAATGATATTATACTTCTAGCAGCAGGGGGATGCTTCTTTGATAAAAGTTGGAAATCTAATCATGAAATAACTACCGTTGCAGGGCATAAGTGAAGCTTCTATTTTGGTTTACAAAATAATCACAAACAATTCGTTTTCGTCTAATTACTTTAACTTTATTTAAAGTATTTGATGTTCTTGTAAAAATCACAATAAAAAATTTTACTTCAAATCATGATAAGGAAAATAAAAAATTATGACAGTATAAAAAATACTATACGAATTATACAATTATACAAAGTTATATATATATATGAATTATAATTGATTAAAATTTCCAATTATTCCTCATGATTCTTTTTTTTTTTTCAAGTTCTTTTTTTTCTCTCGTGAAACGTTGATTTCATTAGTCGATATTTCACTTTCAATAATGTTCATAGATTCTTGATTGTTTATGGTTCGGTTAATGCTTTTCATACGTTTAACTTTTTTAGATGGCCTTTGAATCTCCTCGGTTTTTTCAACCTTTATGAAATCATGTTTCATGATTTTTTTCGGTTCCTTATAAATTCCTTCATTCTTTTTATCTATTTTTTAACTTTTTGTGATTCGTTGGTATTATCAGTCACTCTATTTGTCCTTAAAATTGTTAAAGAAATCCTATTAAATACTTTATTACCTATATTTATATATATATTTATTAATTTTTTAAAAAAAATTATTCTTACTTGTTTACGTATCTTGAAAGACCCGGAAAATAAGGCACCAAAACCTCAATGCGATATTCTTCTGATTCAATTGAATTCATTTGGTACTGCGTATAAGTTTTAATGTCAGTAACGATATTCGTAAAAAAAATTTGATTAATAAATATAGTGTTATTACCAACTGTAAAGATGACTTTGAAGAGTTGTTAAAGATAATGTAGGTTCAAAATAAAAAGAGTTCAGCTAAAATATTGAGATCTTATATAATTTCTCGCACGCGTGACGTTTTGCATATCTCAGATATTAATAGTTTGCATATTTGTACGACATCAATAATTCCGTATGACAATAATTCACTAAAGAAAAATTCTGGACTATTATTTAATTGATCCGTCATTATTAGTTAGTATGACTCATATTTGTTTTATTATTTGAAGTGAAATTATTTAAGAAGTGTGTGATTCTCAAGTACAGGAACGATGATTTTCTGCGGTGATTGAGGATGAATTCTGCGTGTGATAAAAGTTAATTCTGTGAAATTCTGCAAGATCAGCCAACATTACGATTCGCAAATTCTGGTCAAACTTAATATCAGTCAGCATTACGATGATAAATCGGACCAAAATTTTGAAAATTATCATCCGTATTCTGTGACTTCTTGTAAAATTCTGTGAAACATAGAAAATCATCATTCCTGCTCAAGTACCTTGAAAAATCTAATTATTATTATACTAATAATGATTAACATTTTTTTTGCAGTTGATACACATATCACAAATTAATAAAAAAATAGCTGAAAAATAAATTTGATATTATCATCAAATCAAAATGCCTACTATGCATCATTCATTGATGATTTATGATCTTTTATTAATTAACAAACTATATTTTATAAATTTATAATTAAATTTTAAAAGAAATCACTCAAACAAACATTATATACCCTAATGCAAAAAGTAATTTAAATATTAATTATATAATTAAATTTACTTTACAATAAAATTATATATGTTAAATAAAGTATATTGATAATGTAGCAAATATATAATATCTAATTGTATTAAACTTTCTTTTATTTATTTATTTTACCTAATAAGTAAAAAGGCTGAATACATAAAGATTTATGATTTTCACATATTTTATTTACTTGAATCAAAAGAACTCTCTTTATTTTACAACCTTATATATCCATTATATATGACTGCAGATTAAGTATTAAAACCTATTTTAAAAAATATATACTTCATGTGATGCAGTTCCTTATTCTTATAATGACTATATATTATATTAAAGGATTTTGTTATAAGAAAATATATTATTTGAAGTTAGTATTTTTCTAAACAATTTAATAAAGTTAAAACTTGTTCAAAAATATTACTTATATTTATAAAAAAATTTACAAGTATATTTTCAAGAATCAAAAATATTTGAAAGTTAAACTAAGATATTATAGAATGATATTACTTAAACTTATATTAATAAATAATATTTCATTCCTGAATATGTAAACCTGATTCAGTTTATACCTAGGTATATTAATCAGATTCATTTTGATTTTGAATATTTAAATCTGACTCCTTTTTATACTAATTAATAAGTGAATAGTATATTTAGAGGATTTAAGATAGTATTATAATATAAAATGTAATTAAATTTAATTTTATAATTATACTTCTTAATCTTAATTTATCAATAGTATATAACTATATAACTTTTATATATTTTTTAAATTATATATATATCTTATGAAAATTATAGATTTGTATTAAAGTCACTACTGCATTGTTAATAAGTAAAGATAGTATTACAACTAGTTACAACTATATAATACTTATTTGTTACCAGTTGCAACTAACTATAACTCAATTTTTATTAATATCACAACTAGTTGCAATTCTAGAATGCTTATCTATCACCAGTTATAATTAGTTGTAACGTTATCTTTATTAATAAGAGTAAAATGAAATATAATTTTATATTATATTTTTATTGCATTTATATTTAATAATTAAATTATTACCTTAGGTTTTCAAGAATTTTCTTATTATATTAACTTTTTGATCAATAAGTTAAATGATTATTAAAAAATATTTACTAAATTTATGATAAATTTTTTTAAATAAAAAAAAAATAAAATAAAAAAAATTCTGAATTATCCGTTATAATATAAAATTATTTTTTATTTTTTATTATCAAATTTTATTGATGAAAAATTAAAAAAATAGCTTAATTATATAAATGAATTTTTTTATGTATCAATTTCTATTCATTTAATTAATAAATATATTTTTTTTATATTTTTTATTATAAATAAAATAAGTAAACATGTATTGTATAAATACTTATTAAATAGAAATCTGAAAATTTATTTTCATTATATCTTAAAATTAATGGTTTTAAAATCTCTTTATATGCATAATGAAAATATCTAAAAATAAATCTAATGTTATATAAATTCATAGTTTTAATAAAAAAAGAATATCTTTGTTCATTTATAATTTTATAATCACAGTAGTTATTAATAAGGTAAAATCATATAAATTAGATTAGTAAAAATAGGGTGTGATAAACTCTATAATAAAAGTGAGCCTTCTATTTAAAAATAATGGTATTCTATAATTGAGTGAGCTTATGATAGCAGGTTAAACTATTTTAAGTAGTCTATACTAAATTGGCAATCATCTGGAAATATGTTTCTAGGTAAGATTAATATATCCTTTAAATAGGATCAGAGACTTAATTGAGAGTTTTCATTTAAGGCTAATTTACTTATTAAATAAGTAATTCTTCTAGATATTCTTCTATCATTACATATTAATAGAAAAAATCTTTGTTTATTTAATCTAAAAAAATCAAAACTATAATTAGGTAAAGTCTATTAATTCTCAATATATATTTTATCCATATTTAATCTATAAAAATCAATTAAAATTTTTTTTGATTTATATAAAATTAAATTTAACTTTTTGTGTAAATTTATTATAATACTAACTACATCACTAATCTATATTTACACCTTATGAAAATT